CACCAAAAGATTCAATTTCAAGAACTCAAATTGCCTTTTATTACACACTGGAAAATGTTTTCAATAACTTGTATACACAAGTTTGAAGAAACATTTGACAATAACGTGAAATACCAAGTGAGTGTAGAGATTGACTGGCAATCCAATGCAAGTGTACACAGAAGAGCATATGCTTCACTTGTAGCTTGTGTGCCTGTGATCCCCAAGAGCAGCTCTGTAAAGACAATCTGAACACATACTTTATTATATTAACTAGATGGCTAGCTACAAAATATATTTTTTGCACTGTGTTTAAGTGAGTGTTCAGGAATGCTAATTTCATCCTCTGGTGTTAGAATCTTCCTTTGGATCTGCTTTTTGTTGGGTCTCGGATTCCACACGAGTGTCACAAGAGAAGTAGCATATCTGAGCATTTAACAAAGCGCCTTTTAGAAAAAACATTTATAACTATGGCAGTGCTCAATTTTTGGCTAATTTTAAGAATACTCGTATTTAGCTTTTTCTATTTCACAACGACATTGCAACAACAAAAATTCTGTGATTCTGTTTTCTGTGCTAGCTTTTATCTAGTGGAAAACAAGTTCTACTCTACTTTTCCAGACGCTTTCATATATATTATGTAGGTATTTGGAGCATGTGCATGCTAAATTGTATAAACAGATTTAAAGTATAAATCTGTACCTTTTCACCAGACGTGAGCTTCAAAAAAGAGGCAAATGAAGTAAATATTCAGAAGTAGACATCGTCTTTCTGATACTCTGAGAATTTTGTAATATTGTTTTCCAAGCTCACTATTACAAATAAAAGCAATGCTGTTCAGCTTTTTTAATCATCAGATACTCTCATAGATACCAACTGTGATAGTTGCTTTTGGAATGGTTACTCACAGTAGGGTATAAATTAAGCTTCCAGATGTATTTCATTTCAGATATTAACAAACTCATCTGCTTATAACTTTTGCCACTAACAAGCTTAATTCATGCAGAACAATGCCCTAGATTTCAGGAATTCTTTACCTTCTATATCCAAAGCTTCAAGACCTGTAAAGAAAAAAGGGTATTAACCAAAAACTGTTTGAATAGCATGCCTGCCATCTCAAATAATTTGAAACCCTTTACTCCTGTATTGAAACGGAATTATCCGGGAGTTCAAACTTCATGATGAGCATTGACATTTAACTCTCCTTCCTTTGTGACTAAATGACAATATTACTGTAACTACAGTATATTAGGTTTCAGGCAAATCTGTCTGAAACTGGAAATGTTACATGAATTATTCTAATACAAGCAAGTATCTCAGCAAAAAGATATACTCAATAGCCACAATACCTGCTCCAGCTAAATTTGGTCAAAAAGGAATCCAAAGTGGCAATACTGTCACTGAAAATAATAAGATAACAAACACTTAGCTCGACATATTTATTTTTCAAGCTCAATAAATAAATGTAAATACACAAATTTGGAGAAATCTTAGTAACAGAATGTTTTTAAACAACATTCTGGCTTAAAGTCTTTGTTATCAACACTACTGGAATATTTTCTGATCTGCTTAAAGTAGATAAGTCATTATTTTGGTGATCTTCCATCACATTAATTTGAAGATGTTAGGCTGCTGCAAAGGAAAGACAACATCAACCTTTGCTTTGACATAGAAAATTATCTAAACAGCACACCTTAAGTATTAAAATTACTTTTCTGGGCATGACTTTTCTAGAGAATAGAGAAATTTTTAAATTTACAGTTTGCATATTAGAGACCTCCTACCATTCATTACTTCATTATTATAAAAGGGAAATTGTAACAAAAGTGGAAAAAACAAAGAAAAAAGGCATGGAAGAAAAAAGTGATACAAACTGTCCCTTTAGGTAATAAGACATTCTTCCTTTATCCATCTAATTTTCATTCTAGGTTCTTAACAGATTTATGTGATGACTGCTTCCCATCACCGCAGCAAGTCTGCTTGAAATAATTTTAAAGCAGCTTTTTACCAGTGGACTTGTGTTTAGACACCTCCTCTTTTACAGACATACTCCAAACACCTGAAACCAGGAATGTCATATTCCACCTGGCTGCCTTAGCTTTCCCAGATTATTGTATACTAATGCACTTACCCAGGCTTAGAGTATGAATACATAACTTGTCCAGGAGAAGCAGCCTTTTTCAAAAGTATCTACAAAATGCTAAATAGAAATTTTTATCAAAAAGGTTCAGCAAGAAGGTAATTGTTATTGATGTAATGGAAGTGGAGGAAGATTTGTGGTTCCCTCAAAAGTCAGCAAGTATTGTGTTTCTGTATTCTATAAATACTACAAGACACAACATGTTTATTTGGTTCTCATAAATTAGAAAAATCTGGTTTCCAAAAATTCTAAATTAGTGATTTAAAAAACAAAATCTTACACCTGACCACCTTTCCAAACAATCTCAGAGAGCAGCCTAGCCCCTCTCTCCCCCTTCAGAAGTGTGCTTTTAAGGATACATGATTTATAAAACAAACAAAAAGTGTGTTTTTAACTACAGTACACTTGCTTAAATACACAAGTGGACATGTTAACGTCATTTTAAAGTTCAAGGTACTTCTGGAAAAAAGGCAGATAGATAGTTATTTTAACTCTGCATTCTTACATAGAATAATGATTATTATAGACCTTAGTTTCCTCTCATCATTCACCTATCATATGGAGAGGTCAATAAATAAGAATTTATCTGGTCCAGTTTACCTACAAGAGAAAAAAATACTAAAAGAAAAAAGTTATCTATAAAATTACTTGTTTAACCCTGATAACATCTGAGTTGCCATACCCAGTTTGTAACTGCAAGAAAAGCAAACGATACTTATCTTGCTTGTTAATAAATGCCCCATTTTCTATGACAATTTTTTGTATGATGCCTATCAAGTCATGTATTCTTGGGGCAAGAAAGCTGGCCAGGAGGTGCAATGATAGCAATAACACAGTATAAATCTGGGTTCAATAAACCAAACATACCAGATCCAGAAGCAAAGAAATCTGGACAGATTGAGGAGGCAGTGCCCAGCTGTTATTTGGGCTCTTGTATCCTGAAGACTATACCCAGCCTAAGATACAGTTTCATACCATGTAACACAATTCTGTTGTGCTAGTGTACAGACTTCAGGAGAAAGTCTTACACAAAACGAATTACCTCCTTTGTTTAGAGTAGAAGATAATAGCTTACTAACTGATGTAATGAGTAATGGATGTCACTGTGACACAAAACTTGCCATGATTTGTGTGTTCAGCTACAAGGTGCAGTATTTTTTATGACTAACTCAAAGCACAGCCACATCCAACTGTGATTTGGAATTCCATCTTGAGCAGCACACACTATGACTTTGAAGAAAGTCTCTATGATTGTAACAAAGTCACCCATCCTCTCTTGAAACATGAACAAAATCCATGGGGTAATCAGGCACAGGCGGCATGTAACGGGTTTGTCTTCCATTTTACTCCTTGTTTTTGCTTCTGAGGACATGCACTTGGCTCCAGACTAAATCCATTTTCTATTACAAGAGAACACAGCTATTCTTCTCTTTTTCTCTCTCTTTCTCTCGAGGCTCTTTACGTTTGCGTTCATTACTCCCAGATTGTCTTCCACTTGCTGGAGAAGCAGCACCTTGCACCTGCTATGCAGAAAAAATAAAATCTTGAATAAAACAAGCATTATTGTAGATGCAGTCTGAAGTATTACTCTACCTTCCAGTTCACAAACAAAATTTTAACTATTACACAAACAGCAGAATTCAGGTAGAGTCTTTCTGTATAAATACTCCAGAATTCCCACACAACTTATTTCTAAAAAACAAAGGCAGCTGAAAATGTATTTCAAGTCCTGTGTGTCCCTTCTATTGTGTCCACATATTCAGATCAGCTGTTTCAATAATAAAATTTGGCTCTAAGTATGTTCTGGCACTTCTGTATTACTGTACTTGAGCTTTTGCCTAGTTTATTTTATAAAAACATAATCCACATTTTAGAAGTTGCAGAGTGAAAGTGTTGGTTTTGACAACTAGATACAGAAAAGCAGCAGTTTTTTGTGACTAGAAACTAGGGAAGAACTTGGCAGGGGGGTTGGCATACAAAGGCAAGGTAAGTTTTGTTAATTCATTATCTATTCCAGCTGTTACCCATTCACAGCTGCAGATGAGCATGCTGTTAAGTCGTGTTAAACATGTGCTTCAGTTCCTTCTACCTTTTTGCAGCCAGTAGTAGCAAATCTTTGTCTTAGAAGTAGTTACTGATGATTCCATTTAAGCAATAGGCAACAGAAATAACACAACTTTTAATTGTCAGAATTTGTGTTTCATGCTTAACAAGCACATCAGTTAATGGTTCTGAATGGCTTCAGGCCAAAGATTCAGCCTTCATACACATTATTTTTACGTATTTGTAAATAAAAGCAGTTTTAGAAGTCTTCAGCCATTAAGAGCTCCCTGAATCCAGAACACCAACTTAAATATTGCCTCTTGCACACACGGTTCAGTTATATGGCAATTTTGTATATGCATGTGCATGAATGACATTATCCAAGCATTTTGAAGGCAACTGCTTATGGAGATGGGAGAGAAAGGTGTACTGGGAGAAAGTGTTAATTTCTTAATTTGAAACAGGACTGAGTAGATTCACATGATATCGTAGACTGAAACACCTAAAAATGTAAAGCAACAAAACTTCTGCAAGACAAAATAAAGACAAAACTCTGACTACTATCAAAAAGCTCTTCTTTGAGGGTTATTTTGCAAGTAATGTAAAATATTAGCTAATACAATCTGTGTAATCTTACATATTAATTCATCCCATCATCCCAACTTAAATGGTATGAATGAATCCATAATTTAGACAGTCAGGCCTGCTTTAAAGTATTTAAGTGGCAGCAACTGCTGTAACTGCATACATACGCCAACAATTACAGCATATTTCTTAAGATTCCTATATTCATCTCATCACTTGCTGTACAAAATGTAAATAGCAGTCTTATCAGTCTGAAACATTTACAAATATAGATGTGTCTATGTAACTTAAGTTACATAGTTACTCTCTAAAACTCATGATCATATTTTATAATAATGCTTTCTTACCTGGACCTGAACAGCTGCTTGTTCTTGTTCCTGATAGTACTGAGAAGCTCTCCTGTCCTCCTCTTCCTGGAGCTTCTTTGCTAGCTCTAGATCGCTGATTCCTTCTGGGATCTGTTCCCAGTTAATTTCTTGATTTTGCTGCTCTTGTTGTAGAGACAATGCCATCAGATAATCCTAAACAGTAAACTTGTTTATTAATGCTCTTTCACATAGTAAAGAGCCAAGTCATATCAAGTTAATTTTTCAGCATGTGCAGCTAAACAGTACCTTCCCTTTTCCCTAGCCTTATCTTCAAATACATTTAACTCCTGGAAAACAGGAATTTGTTTCAGAACCTGTTCATAACCTGAACTGCAGAAAGGCTGAAAACAACTACTTTACTTTTCTCCTTTCACAGTGCCTACGTCACAGCATACAAAACACAAAAGCTAATTAAAAAGACTGCTTTCAGATTTAAATTCCATTACCTGGACAGCAGCAAAAGACAGACAGTGTCAGCTCATACCAGTTCTAGGTATAAGTAAAGATTTTGAAGCTGTCTTTGTAATTTGCTATTTCTAATTAACACTCTGATTTACGCTTGATAGAGTATCTGTCCCACTCTACTAACCAGTTTTGAGAGTACATCAATAAGGAACATTAACTCCTAAACAAATGAGAAAATAATCGAAAGGTAATTTTGGATATATCCAACCAGACAGCAACTCAAGATACTACTAGCCCTGTTATCTCTGCCAGATTCTTTAATCTACAAGACAGATACAGTGCTTGAATTTATTAAAAAACATATGCTTATTCATTTTTTCCCCGGTACTTAAAAACATGAATGGTGATTACTATAAACTTATTTTGCTTGTTCAGAATGTAAGATTTCTAAGGACCCTGGTCTTGCTATGTGCTTATGCATTAACTGGTACAAATAAGTCCCATCTCAGACATGACTTCTGGAAACTATTATATATAGTTAAGAATAACAAGTAATCGCCATCACACACAATCTGCTACAGCTTTTGTCCTACATTCAGCAAAGCAGGCATCAGAAGGAAAAGTTCAGTTACAACAATATTAGTGAGCACTTTGAAATGAATTTGTTACAGGGGGAAAAGTTTCACAGTGCTGTTTCTGTTTCCATATACAAGGCAGATGTGACATTTCACCTAAGTTCTTTGCAGAAGTGGATTCTGAGAGATTAAAATCAGATTTTCCAGCTATTCACAGTTGGTCTTACCCTTCCTCCCTTGAAGTCATGCTAATACTTCAAAGTACCACTTTTGTGAACCCCAATCTAGGTATCTAAAAAAGTGGGTTTTGTTTGTTTGGGGTTTTTTTTGGTTTTTTTTTTTTTTTTACAGTCCTATATATACATGAGTACACATACATATACATCTGTGTAAGCATACATCTATGGACTAAAAATAACTAGTAACTGTTATAGCTAGTCACAAGCAAACAGAAAAATACAATAAAGACAGAAATCCAATACTTGATCTATTTGATCCTGCTGCCCTCTGTAGACAGTTTCAGGGTCTGATGGAGGCCGTAGGTGGAATTCAGAATCACAGAAATTTCCATCACCATCCACATTGTGTAAGCTTTCCCAGACAACTTTCTCTTCTGTAAGAAAACCCTGGTCTGTCACCAGCAGGTAAAGTTGACCCTATGCAGAAGAATAAAGCAAACCTGTAAAGCTACAAAATTACTTTTTACAATCAGATATAATTAACAGAAATGATCAGCTAATACAACTGCTGCATTCTTGAAAAAACATTAATTTAGATTTTTAGCAAGTTTAAAATTTAAATGACTCAGTATACAGCATTAAAACACCAGATACTTGTATTCATTAACAGCCACACTTAATTTCTGTATTCCATCTTGTAATTTTTCATTATTAATGAAAGTTCATATTGACTAAAAATTAATATAACACATGAACATATACCTTCATAACTCCTTGGAAACACACCTAAGAAGTATACCTCAAGACTGGCAATGTAAATTTTAAGTCCCAGGACAAATCACATTAAATTCCAAAGGCAGGATATGGAGACAAACTGATCCTTCCAAATAATCCAAGAGGCATTACCTCAAAATGACTCCATCTCAGACTTCGTGTTTTGTAATGAGTTTTGATAGAATTTGAGGTTAATTTCAATTGAAAAAATAAATTTTAAGATTCTTGCTATCACTTGTCACCACTAACTGTTTTTATTGGTTTTTAGCCTTTTTACAGTTCAACAAGGCCAAATTTCTCAATTTCAAACTCAGAAATTATAAAATGGGCTGGTCTGCGAGTGAAAGAGACAATACTAACAAGTCCAGAAGCCAAGGTACAGGAAGGATGGAATGTGAGCTTAGGTTGAAGGAATGGGAGAGGAGCTGAAATCAAAAGGAAATTGCAAAAGTGTGTCTCAAGTAAAAGGAGATGTTGCTGCATGTGAGGGACAGCAATGCAGCACAAAAATCCATGTTTAAATTTCAATTTTCCAGCTTTGGAATGGCAATTACCCCAGCACAGGTGGGCTAACAAACATAAATACAATTGTCAGCAACAAGTCTGATCACATAACATGATCTAAGGAATCATCTTTCCCTCAGAAACCTGCTTAAAAAATGAGTGCTACTTCTGATGCCTAAAAATCACCCAAAGAAAATAACAGAAAGTAATTTCACAACATTTCCAATTTGTACAGAATACCTATTTCACAGCATCTTATAGATTAGAAGTTTTAAAAAATTTTTTAAAAAAAGGAAAATATCTTTAAGGTAAGTGTATTTCAATCTTTTAAATTTTATTTTGACCAGTACATCAATTCAAACAAAACCTTAAAGAAAAAGAGGGAAGGGTATGTGTCAAGTTTTCCTCTAATGTGTCATACATTTTTAATTTTTAAACAGCTCATAAATAGTGTAACTTAATACTGAAAGAGGAAAATATTAACGCTTTCATAATCTCCCAACTATTGTAAGCTGAACTTTTCATATACTAATATTAAAGTATATTATTACCTTTATGAGATTAGAATCCAGTATCTGTCATTCAGAAACACTTTAAAGCTAACGTTTGAAAGAGAAAACTGTTTCAACCTTAAATAAAATTCATATTCTCACTTTGTTTTTAAGACTTCCTCAGTTGAACTATACCTGAACACTGATTTTAAAAAAGTCATCTTAGGGTAAATAAAAACCCCAAACCATTTAATACAGCTCCCTCATGAAAGACAATAGACTGCATTATGTATTACCACATTACCTAAACAATATCATTCCAATTCCATTACCAACTGCAGAGTTTAAAAGCATGCTGCTTCACTTCAATAAAATCTAGCAAACCAACAAACACAGGCTCCCTAGTACTTGTGAAGAGACAAAGTTCCTTTTCACTTTATTGGAATGAAAGAAATGGGAAAGCACAGGTCAGAGATCCAAAGTCATCTTTCCCTCTTTTTTTGTTTGTTTTTGTTTGGGTTTTGGTTTTGTTTGGTTTTTTTTCAATCAACTGTTCTGATGTCTACTTCATATTAGCATAATTTAATGGAATTTCTCAAAAAAAACCCCCAGATTCCCAAGGACCCTCAAAATATTGCTAATACTCATGTAACCTCTAGCAATAATTGTACAACTTTCAGTTTCATATACAAACTAAGAGGAGTTGGCTCTTTTTGTATTAAGTGTAATGTAGCTACTCACCTCTACAGAGCATCAGTCTTCCTAGAACTTCAATGTTTTTGTTCCTTCTACTTGCAAGAAGCAAAAAGAGGCCATATCTACAGATTGGTCTGTATAAGCGCTGTTTTTGTGTCATGCATGTTCTCTTCCCAATCCTAAAGGCTCACAGGCCAACTTTACAGGCACATCCAAATTCCACTGAGGGAATTACTGATATGAGACAATCTTTCTATCATATGACCTTCACACTGCCTCTAAACTTGAGCTGCACTAAGTAACAACATGCCTGGTGTCAGGAACAAGCCACTATCATCCAGCAGTTACCAGATCATGAGATCAGTCCAGCTGCTAAGAGACAGTGATATACAACCAAAGTAACACTGGGAATTCTGACTTGATGCGTCCAGTAGTTTTACACCACCACATTTGTAGCCTACCAAAGTTTCTGCACTTCAGGTCCCCTCAGTGCACACACGAGGAGGAAAAGGGAAAG